ACCTCATTTTTGGAGTTGTATAACATTTTTGAACATGCCGAATGGCATGTTGTAAAGACAGATGGCCCTTCTGTGGCCTTTTATATCTATGTTAACTTTGTTTTGGTTTAATTTGTTGATGTCCGTAATTCTGTATGTGTGCATGCCGTATGCAGAATATTGTTGATATAATATTGCGGTATGGTAATGCCATAGGTATAGAATGGGGATTGTGTTGAAATAAACCGATTACAAAGGTGACGACCGAAGGTGACAACCCAAGGTGTGAGCACTTGTACAAAGGGTGATGACCGAAGGTCACGTTACTTGTAGTAATATTTGAGGTGCTCTATATTCCAAGGATGGCCGAGGGTCTGACCATCGGTACCTCGCAGTCTGTAAGTTCCTGGTCGGCAGACAGTGACGACCTCATAAGGACCTTCCCAGGATGGACCAAGGGTGCCGTCGTTCGAGTCTTTGGTGGCGAGAGAAACTTTGCGTAAAACCCAATCTCCCACTTTGAACGATCGGCGTCTGACGCGCGAGTCGTAGTAGCGAGAGGTCCTCTGTTTGTAGGCAGCGTTCCGAAGCTGAGCCTGGGAACGGTGTTCATCAATGAGGTCCAGGTTGAGAGTGAGCAGGGCTTCATTTTGCTCTGGTTTGTAAGATGCCGTTCGACACGAGGGTGCGTTGATCTCGACTGGGACAACAGCTTCGGTATCGAAAGCAAGGGAAAACGGTGTTTCGCCGGTCGATCGTCGGTAGGAGGTGTTGATGGCCCAGAGTGCTTCCGGAAGGAGATCGGGCCAGGCTCCTTTAGCTGCCCCGAGCTTCTTCTTCAGCGTTTTCTTGATGATTTTGTTGATGGCTTCTACCTGGCCGTTTGATTGTGGATGTGCTGGAGATGCGAAGAACAAGTTGATGCCGAATCGGTGGCATAGGTGCCGGAACTGAGAGGAGTCGAATTGTTTGCCGTTGTCGGTGATGATTGCATTCGGGAGGCCGAATCAACAGATAATATTCTTCCATACGAAATGTTCAACCTTGGCTGCGGTGATTGTGGCCAAGGCTTCGGCTTCGGTCCACTTTGTAAAGTAGTCGACAGCGACAATGGCAAATTTGAGTTGTCCCTTCCCTTGGGGCATGGGGCCGATGAGGTCTAAACCCCATTGAGCGAAGGGCCATGGGCTAACAATCGGAGTGAGTGGTTCGGCAAGCAGTTTTGGAACTGAACCGAAGCGCTGGCATTGATCGCACGTTTGGACGAGTGCGATGGCATCGGTATGGAGTGTCGGCCAGTAATACCCTTGCTGAATCGTCTTGAAGGCCAGAGATCGGGCCCCAGAATGGTCCCCGCAGGCTCCTTCATGAATCTCTCGTAAGACGTAGTTCCCCTGCTGCGGGGTTATACACCGAAGCAATGGCAAGGAATGGCCACGCCGATAGAGAACTTGATTTAAGATTAAGTAACGCGCCGATCGGCGGCAGAGAGTTTTGGCCTCAGTTTTGTCGTCTGGTAGCGTTCCGCTTGAGAGGTAAGCATAGATTGCATCCATCCAGCTTGGATCCTGCCGAACGGCATGTACCTCGCTTTCGGTGGTGCTGCGCCGAGCCAGGCGTGACAGGGCATCAGCGTGGCTGTTCTCAGATCTGGGGATCTGTTGAACCTGATACGCATCAAAGTGGCTTAGCAATCGGCGGGCATGCGTCAAGTAGGCTGCCATGGAAGTAGGATTTCGATCGGCACGTGGCGGCCTACGTTGTCGTCGATTGCCGATGCCAGGCGTGACAGGGCATCGGCGTGGCTGTTCTCAGATATGGGGATCTGTTGAACCTGATACGCGTCAAAGTGGCTTAGCAATCGGTGGGCTTGCGTCAATTAGGCTGCCATGGAAGTATCCTTGGCCTCGAATTCAGTCAATACCTGATTAACGACAAGTTGTGAGTCGCTACATATCTTCAGTTGTCGAGCACCCATTTTCTTGGCGAGCCGAAGGCCTGCCAAGAGAGCTTCATATTCGGCTTCGTTGTTGGAAGCTTGGAATTGGAATCGGATGGCATACTCGACGGTCGTTTGATCAGGGGCCTTAAGAACTAAGCCGGCCCCGCTGCCTTGCCGGTTGGATGAGCCGTCGACATAGAGAGTCCACAGAGGGATTGATGAAATAAATGTTCCCTCGGTTGGATGGGCGACCGATGTTGCCGAAGCCGGTTTAGGGTCGGCATCGTCTGGGGTGGATTTTTCAGATGTCATTTCAGAGATGAAATCAGCGACGGCTTGACCCTTCTCGGCAAGCCGAGGGTGATAGTGGATGTCGAATTCGCCGAGTTCGATGGCCCATTTCACTAGCCGACCTGACGTCTCTGGTCTTTGTAGTATTTGGTGTAGAGGCTGATTGGTGAGAACGGTAATACTGTGAGCCTGGAAATACGGCCGAAGCTTGCGTGCTGAGAGGACAAGAGCATAAGCAAGCTTTTCCAGCACAGGGTACCGAATCTCGGCATCCTGCAGTGAGTCGCTGCATATCTTCAGTTGACGAGCACCCATTTCCTTGGCGAGCCGAAGGCCTGCTAAGAGTGCTTCATATTCGGCTTCATTGTTAGAAGCTTTGAATTGGAATCTGATGGCATACTCGATGGTAGTTTGGTCAGGGGCTTTGAGAACTAAGCCGGCCCCGCTGCCTTGTCGGTTGGATGACCCGTCTACGTAGAGAGTCCATAGAGGGAGTGATGAAATGAATGTTCCCTCGGTTGGATGGGCGAATGATGCTGCTGATTCCGAAACGGTATGGTCTGGATTGGATCCTGTAGAGGTAGTCATTTCGGAGATGAAATCAGCCACGGCTTGTCCCTTCTCGGCAGGCCGAGGGTGATATTGGATGTCGAATTCGCTGAGTTCAATTGCCCACTTCACTAGCCGACCTGATGTCTCCGGTCTTTGTAGTATCTGGCGTAGTGGCTGATTGGTGAGAACGGTAATGCTGTGAGCCTGGAAGTACGGCCGAAGCTTGCGTGCTGAGAGAACAAGAGCATAGGCAAGCTTTTCCAGCTCAGGGTACCGGATCTCGGCATCCTGCAGGGCGTGGCTGGTATAGAAAATTGGAAGCTCTATGCCGTTCGGCTTGCGAATGAGCACGGAGCTTAATGCCGTTGCCGATACCGATAGGTAGAGAATTAACTCTTCGCCAGGAAGAGGAGTGGATAACAGGGGTGCCCTGCTCATATAGGCCTTGAGGTCTTGGAAAGCGCGGTCGCATTCGGCAGTCCAGACAATCTGCCGTTTGTTTCCTTTGAGGGCTTTAAAGAAAGGGGCACACCGATCGGTAGCCTTGGATATAAACCGAGCCAGAGCGGCGACGCGCCCCGTGAGACTCTGGATATCCTTCTGAGTCTTCGGAATCTGCATATCGAGCAAGACCTTGATTTTTTCAGGGTTGGCTTCGATGCCTCGTTGGCTGATCATGAAGCCAAGGAATTTGCCCGAGGAGACGCCGAAGGCACACTTACTTGGGTTGAGCCGCATGTTGTACTTCTTTAGGACGCTGAACATGAGAGAGAGGATGTGGAGGTGAGAATCGGCCGTTTTGCTCTTGACTAGCATGTCATCCACATAAACCTCCATCGATGTGCCAATGAGCTCAGAGAAGATCTTGTTGACCAAGCGCTGGTAGGTTGCTCCAGCGTTCTTTTGGCCGAATGGCATGACATTGTAACAGTAAAGTCCTTTGTCGGTGATGAATGTCGTATGTTCGCGATCGGCAGGGCTCATGAATATCTGATTGTAGCCCGAATATGCGTCCATGAAGCTGAGAAGTTCATGGCCTGCTGTTGCGTCTACCATCTGATCGATCCTTGGCAAAGGAAAACTGTCTTTGGGGCAAGCCTTGTTCAGATCGGTATAGTCCTGACACATTCGCCATGCACCGCTCGACTTTTTGACCAGCACCGAATTGGCCAGCCAAATTGGGTAGGCGACTTCCTGGATGAAGCCGATTGTACGCAATTTCTCCACCTCGATTCTCATCGCTTCGTATAGTCCTGACACATTCGCCATGCACCGCTCGACTTTTTGACCAGCACCGAATTGGCCAGCCAAATTGTGTAGGCGACTTCTTGGATGAAGCCGATTGTGCGCAATTTCTCCACCTCAATTCTCATCGCTTCGTATCGTTCGGCATCGTAGGCCTGCCGTTTCTGTCTGATGGGTATGGCAGTGGGGCAAATGCTGAGCTTGTGACTGATGACGTTTGGGGGTGATGCCAGGCATGTCGTCATAGGACCAGGCGAAAACCTCTGTATTGGCGCGCAGGAAGGCAATGAAATCGGCCCGTAGTGCCGAACTCAAGGTGGTGCCGATCCGTACTTGTCGGTCGGGTTGCGCGTCGGAGAGGGTGACCGATTCTAGATCCTCAATGGGTTGTGCTTGTGGGATGACGGCCTCATCTCGGGGATCATCCGGTTTTTCTGGCCCCCTGCCGTTCGGCACAGTCATTTTGGCAGAAACGGAATATGTTTCGCGAAGCGTCGCTCGTGCCGATTCCTTGGTGGCTGCAACGTAACACGTCCGTGCACTCAACTGATCCCCTCACACTTGGCCAACACCAGCGTGCGTGGGGAACTTGAGGAGGAGCATGTGTGGCGACATCATGGCCTTCATCTTCATAAGTGATGTCCTGCCGATGATGGCGTTGTATGCTGTTGGACAATCGACTACTAGAAAATGGGTGTAGATGAGCGTTCGTCTGGGGATAGTGCCGACAGCGAACGGGAGCTGAACACTGCCGATGGGTTCAACCACGTCACCAGAGAAGCTTAAGAGGGGGGGTGATATCCTTGTTTAGGTACTGAGGGTCTATGCCGAGGGCCTCGAAAGCATCGGCAAAGAGGACGTTGACCGAACTGCCTGTGTCGATGAGGATTCGGCCTACGTCGAAGTCTGAAATGTCGGCTCGTATAATCATGGGGTCAGAATGGGGGAAGATGATGCCACGCTCTTCTTCCTCAGAAAAGGTAATAGGTTCTCAACCGATTCGCTGGACCTTGTTGGTGCGGCTTTCATTGACGCTGAGGATCTGGGGGTACCGAACGGCACGGACATAATCTTTGACAGATCTGTTGCTAGTTTCGGCGATGGATGTCCCCCCACTAATCATATTGATCTGCCGATTTGGTGGTTTGTCCGATGCTGGTTTGGTGCTCAAATACTGATCCAGCTTTCCTTCGTTGATGAGGCGCTCAACAATTTTTCGAAGGGCGATGCACGATTCTGTGTCGTGGCCATTGTACTGGTGGTATCGGCAGAAGACTCCTGTATCCTTCTCGTTCGATCGAGGGAGCTTGCGATTGTTCGGTTTCGGTATCATTTCCCCTTCTGTCAGGAGAACGTGCTCATAAGTAGTGTTGAGCAACGTGAAAATTGCCTCTGGTCGATTCTTCTTCGGATTTCCGAAGTCGCCTCGCCCGTCGGAGTCCTTGCCCTTTTTGGTGCTGTCCTGCCGATCCCGGAAGTGGTCTTTTCGTTTGTTTCGTGCCCTGGAAAAAGCAGAGACAGGTGGTGCCGTTCGGTAAGGGGCCTGATCCGTTGTCCGATTCGCGGGGAAACGGTCATAGCCTCGTGCCGAAGGCTGATCGGTCGTTGTTTCCTTGCTTGATGTGGCTGAAACCGACCCCTTGGAGTTGAAATGTTCGGCCTTGGTGTGGATAGCCGCTTGCTTCATCAATTCGGAATAGGTGGTCCAGTTGCTGCTGTGGAACAGATAGCGAAATTGAGACGACCGAAGGCCGCTTTTGAAGGCACCGAAGGCTGCTCTATCATCAGTTTCCGGGCATCGGGAATACTCGTGGCTGAACCTGGCCGCATATTCCCTCAATGGCTCATCGTCTTGCTGCCGAACGGTATAGAGGTCATCGGCAGAATACAGGCAATCGGTCTGGATCATAAAATGGTTGAGGAAGGTTTGTTTCAACTGATCGAAAGAGTCGACCGTGCCTGGTTCCATTCGGTATAACCAATTCAGAGCAGCGCCGGTCAGGGTGGAGGGGAACAGTAAACATTGGCCTTCATCCGTCAGTCCTTTGCAGCCCAAAGCTAATTGGAAGGTATGAATGTGAGTAACGGGATCCTCCACCCCGGAGTAGAACGATATCCGGAGTGCTTAGACCTCCTTCTCGTGCCTGAACGTTCGGATGCGACTGGTGAATGGCCCTGGTTGTACCTTTCCCCATGTTGGCGTCCGAGCCTGGTTCTGTTCTTCCTCGATACGGTTCATCTTCTGGAGGAGGAGACGGATAGTTGGGTCGGTAGAGGGAAGGTCATCGCCAAAGGGGTCCCTTGCTTGGTTTTCCTTGCCCCGGCCAGTGTTGTGGCCACGTGTTCCTTGACCCGCCGTTCGGCTGGGGCTTCCTCCATAACCCCGGTCTGCCGATCGTTTCCTCTATCCGATCGTTGGCTATAGCTATGATGTTCTTTTGAAGGTCCCGCCGATCGGTGAGAGATGGTGGTCCCTGGTGAAGTTGGAACGTAGTCTGATTCGTCCGTTTCTTCCAGGCCGATCGCACCGTACCTTCGGCGTACAGGAGATTTCGGTCCGAGCACCCTCAGATGTTGATCATTGAGCTTGGCTTGAATTCTGATGGGCGAAGACTGCCGTTTCTCGTGCTGATCGTTGATCCTATCACGGCAGTCGGAGTAGACTTGGTATTCTTGATGCTGTTCCCTCGAGGAGGGTATGAACAACCTTCGGGAAGCGGATGGTTTGTCTATGGCATGCCGCTTCTCCCTATCCTGAGCGTTGGGTTTTCGTATGCTTTTATATGACTTCTCCTGCCGAGGATGCATGGTCTGTTCCATGCCGTTCTGCAGCTGGGTGGAGTGTGTTTGCTGATCGTACAATTGCCTCTGGGTGTCATCCAGTTTAGAGGCGAGGATATTGTTGTGCTCCTGCATTCTGGCCATGTCCTGCTGTAGAGTCTCCATGCGAGCCTCCAGAGTGTTTGGCGGAGCAGGGGGATCTGTTCGCGGTGTGTGGAGCAGAGGAACGAGGTTGTTCTCGCCACCGATGCCGAGAATAGGGCCATCGGTAGGGAGGACCGAAGATGGATTCATTTTTTGGTCTCAGAGTTTTCTTGTTTGAGATATGAGTTAATCGATAAGCGTTTCCCACAAACGGCGCCAATCTGTTGGCACTAAAACTGAACAGATAGAGATGAGTGCAACTTACAAGAGATGTGGACGATCAAGGTGATCGATTGAGTGATAGATGGAGATCCTTCCTGTCTTTTGTTGTGTAGATTTCAGCTGCACCAAAATGGATTCAGCTGCATCCTCAACTTGTGATACTCGCAAGTGCACGAGCCGTTGGTAGTTTAGCATATGTAAGTGCGAGGTCGATTCCACAGGAATTGGTGATTGAATGATTCAATTCAATTTTCCTACACAAAACAGAAATGAAAACAAAAGAAGTAAAAAGGTTTTGTACAACATTTGAGAACATTGAGAGTTTTTGGAGAGAAAGAGAGAGGTGTTTGAGAGCATGGGGAATTTGGAAGAGAAAGGAAAGTGTTTGGGAAGCTTGAAGATTTTGGAAGAGAGAATGTGTTTGAGAGCATGGGGAATTTGGAAAAGAAAGGAAGGTTTTTGGGAAGCTTGAGGATTTTGGAAGGGAATGTGTTTGAGAACTTTGAGAATTTGGAAGAGAGTGGTTGAGAACTTTGAGAAGGGAGAAGAAAGTGTTTGGGAAATTTGGAGAATGTTTGTGAACTTGGAGAATTTGAGAATTTAGGGAAGGGAGAGAAGGGTGTTTGTGAAGTGTTTGAGACATGGAGACTAGAGAATTTGAAAGAGAATAGAGAAGTGTTTGGAGAATTTAGAAGAAAGAAAATTTAGTAGAATGATCTTATTACAACAATTGAGAACTACAAAGGGAAACTAAGAGAATTTGAGGGAGAGAAGGGAAGGGAGTTACAAGCTTAGAGAACTTCCCTATTTATAGGCCTAGGGGAAGTGAAAATCTGAATTATACAATAGAGTTCACTAACCACACTCACTTCACCAACTTACAACACTTAATTCACCTAACACACTATTGCATTTGAAAACAATTCTTCTTGTCATTAAGCTTAGTGTTGCATCATCCACTTCAACTTCAATTAATTCATTTGGCTGCTGCAAAATTCCACTCAAAAATAGGTATTGAATATGCTTCACCAAACTTTCCCACAATCAACAACACTTCATCATGCATATGTCATGCATGACAATGCATTGCAGCCAGCTTGTGGGCTCGTTTTGGGCTTGTGGCTTCAATCTGAAAAATCTGGAAAAATATGGATCTTGAAGCTCTTTGAATTATCTTTCCAAGGATATGCAGCCCAACTCAAGGAAAAATCGGGAAGGCCTTCAAATGTGATTTTTGGCCCAATAACGCAGATGCTGCCGAATTTGACCTTAAGTTGCCAAAACATGTATAACTTTCTCTAGAAGACTCGGAATCATGAACCGTAAAATTATACAGAAACTAGACTTCCGTATCTTTCCAATGATGTATGGCTCATCATCTGGTTCTTCTTGAGCAAGTACAGTCAAATCCGTGAAGTTGACTGATCTGCAGACACCGTTTTGAGCTAACTTGTCTCCAAAATGCAATTAGTGAGTCTCAAGCTTATAACACTGAAACAAACACAAAACTTATTAAAAGCACAAGTTTAACTCAAAAACATAACCAAATCATAAATTAGAAGGGTACAAAATGATATGTAAATATGCACCGATCATCTCTCAGATGCTGATCCTGAATAGAAGATAAGCGAAGCCCGTGAGGTCTATGGAACCGGTGTGGAACCAGCTTAAGACCCTCCGATGCTCAAGTAAGATTGTTTTATAAAAAACCCTCGCTGTTGACAATATAGTAGTATAAAGGTCAAGCTGGAAAGACTTACCCCTGTATTGTAGTGAAGAGGCCTATTTATAGAGGGGATTTTGTATGCTCTTAGTACTCATTTTCGATGTGGGACTCGTGGGAGGGCCTTACGAGGTCGACACGAGTCTTTAGATATTTTGGGCGGGTACTTCGAGGTTGATTCTGTATAATCGGTAAGGGATACCAATTGTAGACGAGCTGGGCCTGTACTGGCTGTTCGCAGCTTCGAGACAATGCCATCGGTAGCCGATGCCGATTGTTCGAGGCCTTGGGTGCGTGGGTGACTTTCTATGATTCACGTGTCATTGTATGAGTGGAGGGTCAAATATGGTACAAACAAAAACTACAGAAATTGTAAGTACAAAGACTACAGAAATTATAAGTACAAAAACAATGATCATTAAATTTTTAGCTAATAAATTTAGCTAATCCACTCGTTGATAAATTCCTAATTATGTCCTTGCAAGCCAAAAAACATTTCTCATAGAATAATAACCTTTTTAAAAAAAAATTTGGGAAATTGAGCATGAAATCTAGCAGGGTTCAGTTTGCAAAGGTGGCACTTTGCTCCCTCATGGTTGCTGGGAATCTCTAGACTGTCAAGGGGTACGGAAAATTGCTTTTCACAATAAAAAATGCAATTGCCATTGACTTATTATGGACGGAATTCTAGATGGTCTAGGCTAAATAATCCCTCTGTCTTTTTTTTCTTTTCTCCCAAGGAACAGAAGAACTTATCTTGAAATCCCCAAAAAGGTCAGTATCAGTTGCATGATGCATGAAACAGAAATGATCACGAAAATTCTGTGGTGCATCGGCTGTACCGGTACAGCCAGTTATCCAAGGGCCAGTATTGCATTTTAAAAATAAAGGGTTGAGATTGAATGACCTGAAGACTTGTTGAGCCCTTTGTTATTAAATATCACGTGACATACACGTGACTCAGTAAAAAGCTTCAACGAACGCGCAGAAGCCCTCGCGTGCACTGAAGCTACTTATCTCTGCGATTGATCTCTCTCTCTTGAAAATCCAATCCTCATCTATGTCCCAAATCAGAATCTGGGCGTCTCACCTCTGCCGACGCCGAGATGCAACAGTCATCGGACATCGCCAATTCCGGAATCACCATCCACGCAAGGTTTGCCTGCTTAGTTGTCTTCTTTTTCCATCGGTTCAATTTAGAAGATTACTCAGTTTTTGTCTTTGAAGAATCATGATCAAGAAGCTTGGAAGCAATTGGGTTTTGGGGTTGATACATCTGGCAGATCACCACATGCGCTCCATTCAGGAATTAATGGGTGTGATTCATTTTAGCTCATTGCATGTTCTTCAAAATTTAAACCTTTTCTGATTGATTTATGAGAACTTTTGAATTTCTCTTTAAATTCTTAGATTGTTGAAGGTGTTGCTAAAAGTTCAGTGTGATTGTTTCTTACCCAGTTAAAAAAAAAATCAAGTTTTTGTTATTGGTGGTATAAAGATGGAAGCAGAGAGTCAAATGAGGGAGGTAAAATATGCTGCTGATATTTCCTCTATAAGGGAAGCAGAAGCACGCATCAAGCCATTCATACACCAAACTCCTGTCTTGTCCTCTGAATCTTTGAATGCTCTTGCAGGAAGGCAGCTGTTTTTCAAATGTGAATGTTTTCAAAAGGGGTGAGTGTTTACTTTTTTCCTAGATTGGTTTGGAATTCATTTAGTTTTCCTCAGCCAATAAGACTTATTATTATGTTGCTATGCAGTGGTGCTTTCAAATTCAGAGGGCTTGCAATGCTGTATTTTCACTTGATGATGATCATGCTGTTAAAGGGGTTGTAACACACAGCAGGTTTGCTTTCGGCTCATTTGTCTTTCGTGGGTATTTCCTTTGATCAGTTTGTGGGATTACCACCTGATATTGTCCTCCAAATTCAGTGGTAACCATGCTGCAGCATTGTCTTTGGCTGCAAAACTACGCGGAATCCCTGCATGTATAGTTATACCAAAAAATGCTCCGAAATGCAAAGTTGAGAATGTCATTCGTTATGGTGGTCAGCTTATCTGGAGTGAGCCCACAATGCAGTCAAGAGAAAGTACTGCAGCCAAGGTGTTGCAAGAAACTGGGGCAGTTCTTCTACATCCTTAAAACGATAGGCGCATAAAAAGGTACACATGCAACTTTCATTTGTTTTAACTGCATTTGTTTGGAATTTTGGCCCTTGATGAGGGAAGAGTAGAAATCTTTTGCATAAAGATGACCTTGTTTTGTATCAATATTATTGAAACTTAGGATGTACCTTCAGAGTCTACTGTGTTGATACAAAATAAGACAACATAAAAAGGTTGCTTTACAGTGAGGGTGTGCGTGTGTTTACCTAAAGAATGACCAAACCAAAATCATATTATGAATTGTAAACTATTGATCAATATGCATGTCATGGTTACCATATTTTCTTGAAAATACAATCATAGATGCTGCCTTGAATTTTATGGTGATATATAATATCACCCTGGCTACTCCTTGATTAGTATTACCTAGCCTAATTCATAATACTTAAACAATTCAGATGCATTAACGAAACTTCTTCCTTGTAGGTGAATGCATTAGATACTGTTTTACAATCACTACAAGAAAATAGGCCTTAGTTGACACTTAATAGTTGACATTTTTGCAAAACCATCAACTATTTTATGAAACTTTGACGCTTTTTTAAAAGCGTCAACTACTTAGCGAGTTTACTTGACGTTTTACAAAAAACATCAACTATATATCACTTTCCCTGACACTTTTTAAAAACCGTCAACTCTATATTACTTTTCCTTAACATTTTATAAAGAATGTCAATTGTTTATTACTTTTCGCTGACATTTTACGAAGAATTTCAATTAAAACCATTTTATACCAGCTGACACTTTTCTAAAATATCCTCAGGAAAAGAGCGCGCTAAGTTCGCGGGCATTTCACTCCAAATTCATCTAAGTGTTTTGCCCTATATTCAACTCCTCTTCCTCTTGGTCACCACTTTTTCCCTTCATTCCAAAACCAAAAATATCAGAGTCCTTAGGGTTTTCCACTCTTCATTTCTTAAATTGGATACAGAAGTTCGAAGAGAATGTGAGTATCAAATCTTAGTGTGCTCATGCTCTGCTAGTTGGGGTGGCAACAATTCAGGTGTATTTCTTATCTATCCAAAGTTATTATAGTTCATATGAATGTATTTTTGCCCACTCTGTTCATCTTTCATTCTCTACAGAGTATTTTCTCTCTCTATGTACATCTCTCAGAAAGTTTTGTGCTTTCTTTCCATTCCTTAGGTACCTGACATGAATCTCACTCAATCTCAAGATGCTTCGGGGAGTTGAACCAGGGAGAACGTTGAAATGGGAGAAAAGTGAAGATTTTTAACAAACAATCAAGAATATTGAAGAGTTTGCTGCCGACAAAGAACTGGGTTTGTGTTCTTTATTGGCCAATATTCCTAATTTTTTCAAGCTTTATAGGTGGGCATTCAATATCTCTACATATCTGAACTACAACTAATCGAATTCAAAAAAAATTAGCATAATTTTTAAGTAATATAAATTATCACTCTCCAGTCAAGTTTAGTTGAGTAGTGGAGTTAGATTCCTTTCTTCTTATCTTTCCCATGGATTTGAATTGTATTCTTTGTCTTATTAGGAAATTAGGATAGTTCCTCTTCTTTTTAGTTAGTGGCGGCAAGGAGTGCCCACCACCTACTCGACATTTTCCCTCACTGAATTTACTACATCTCTTTATATTTAATCAACATATCAATATCATTTTATTTATAATAAAAAATTCAAGATATCACTATCTTGTGGCACTGTAAAAAAAAAAAATAGAACATGCAAATTCATCTTTGTTGGATGATAAAATTGATTAGGAAAGGTTCTTATGCTAATATAATATAGGTTATAGGTCTTTTCGTGAACTTTTTAATGCTTTTGTGTTTTAGTTTTTGTTAATTGGTGATATTATGTCTTCTGGTAATGTATGGCTGGTTGTTTTGATATAAGTTATAACTATAAATTGAGATCAGTAGCTTTTTTCTTCTAGAAAGGAATATATATATATGCTTATTGGCAATAGTAATATACTATTTTAATTTAATTAGGATGATTCTATTATAAAAAACCTATAGATCTAGAAGAAATTGATTACCAATTTTAATCATACTTTTCTGGTATTAGTTCAGTAATTGCAGCCAAGTATTATTATTATTATTTTTTGTATGAAAAGGAAGTATGATTTACAAATTTCTATACATTTCTATTTATATATTGCATTGCAAGATTAATTCTTATCTTGGTAATGTGTGTAACCATTGGTGAAGAGAATGAAGTGGCCTATATTGCAGGGAAGGTTTTTTTAGTTTGAAATGGATAAAACTTGGATGTCAAAAGATCGAATGTCAAAAGAATATGAAGATGGTGTTGAGCAATTTATTGTGTTTGCTATAAGTCATGCTAGTAACCCCAAACTCATTAAATGTCCATGCCAAGTATGTGGAAATTTGATGTTTGAGACTCCTAAAGGGATAAGAGATCATATGTTTATAAGAGGTGTTGATCAAAGTTATAAGATATGGAGTTGGCATGGGGAGGTGGCTGATATTGGAGGAACAACAAGTAGGGAAGTAAATTTTGATCAGTCACCTAAATACGAGGAGGTCCAAGAAACTTTACAAATGGTTAATGCTGCTTATGATCCTTGTACTGCCAACCATGATTCTTTTACATGTCTTACTTCAATGCTTGAACTTACAGTGAGTTGTATCATTTTATACATGAGGTAAGCCAATGCTACATGACATTTTTTTGAGGTATATTGTATTGCACTGCTTTGACGTATTTCACTTTGTTTAGACAATTATATGATCATATGAAGGCTGAAGGTCTACTTCAGATGTTTGGCTTTATCAATCCTGCTATTGTATCATTGGCTGGAAATTTAAATAATCAACGAAAACGGGATGAGAGATCACGAAATATAGCAGATCGTTTGGTGAAGGCAAAAAAAAATCAACTCATAATCATGCCTTATAATCCTGCGTAAGACTACTCTTCAAAGCTTATTAATTTAGATTTGATTATGTAAAATTTACTGAACTCGACTAATATGTACATATTCATTTGCCATAGGTTCCACTGGATCTTAATTGTCATTGACTTCTCATCCATGACTGTTTATTATTTGGACCCATTAAGGAATGATATTTATGAGGATGTCAGAGTAGTTGTAGACAAGTAAGCCATTTCCTATTATATTAAAATTTTAACATACTTTTCATTATGATACAATCAACTAAACTAATGATATTATGCTGGTCTATAATTTGTCTAGTGGGGTTCGAATCTTATATATATATTTCAGTCTTTGCTCTGTTAAATCAATTTATTGTATTTTATTACAATGAGTATGCTAACTTGGTATATGCTGTGTGAGATCTTATTGGCTATTTCACTCAATTAATATTAGCTCTCACTTGGTAGATGATGTGTGATGGGAATTCCAATTTTGGCTTTTTGAGAAGATGATATATAGGATCACAAATGTGATTTCCAGTAAGCTCTCTGTTTTTTGGAAAGAAAGTGAAAGCCATTGATTGTTTGTATGGCTGCTGTGGTCTTAGAATCTTCATGAAATATGGTAAATTTGTTCATAGTTTATACTTGTTCGAAAATTGTTCGAAAATTCTAACTGATTACATGTATGTTACTTTTCATCGTTGGCAGTTTTGTATCATATGTAACTGCGAAATTGTTTGCCCACTGCAAAATTAAGTATCATATGCAGTTTTGTTTGGCAGGTCTTGTTTGGCAGTTTTGTTGTAAGGCTGCTGGTCATCTGTTTTGAAGGTCTTGTGTGTGCTTATATTCTATTTTTGTCACTTATAAAGTTATTTGTGCAGTTAGACTCTAGTAGTTGTACTACTTGATTATTTGATCCTACTATCTTTCTTTTAATGTGCATTTCATGTCCTATCGAAGTAAGAACTCTCTGGATGTAAAATGGGGAATATTGTACTAGAACACAAGAGGTTTCTACTGGAAAAACTCATTTTATTTATGAATTTTAGTGTGTATATTTGGCAATGCATGGCTTGTATAGTTTGTTGAAACTAAGTGAACAAATGCACTAGTATGATGTATTTTCAGTTGATTAGTTTCAATACATGCAAATTATTTTTAGAAGTATTCTGTGCTTTGAATTATTTTTTATTGTGATAAAGTTAGCTCTTTTGGTTTCCCAGATTTAGTTTTGATTAAGTGATAAGCTCTTAATAATGAGATTAGTTTTCATAGTTGTAAAATAATATATTGCATAGGCCAAACCTAGTCCCAGCTGGATTTTATAAAAATAAAAAAATAAAAAATAAAAATAAAAAAAGGGCTCTTTATCCCCACCTAGTCTAGCGGGATTATAAAAAAATTGTTGGCTCCCCCTTGTTTGGGAAAAAAAAAAAGGACACATACAACAAATGTCACGTACGTGATGCATTTTAGCCGTCAAGTAAACTTCCATGTGACGGTTCTTACATGTCAAGTGATTTTAATTGACACTTATTAGATGTCAAATAACTACAATGTTGATACTTAGAGCCATCAATGAATTGTTAGTTGACGGTTAAAAGGTGTCAAGCGGAACGATTAGTTGACGGTTACAAAGCGTCAAGCACAACGATTACTTGACGGTTAAAAGGCGTCAAACATAATAGTTACTTGACGGCTCAAAGCCGTCAAGCGTAAGGATTACTTGACACTTCAAAAGCGTCAATAAATGGGGTACCCCTTTCCTGACAGTGGTATTCTTGACGGTTTCTGCACCGTCAAGTATTACGTTTCCTGACACTTTTTAGCCGTCACTAAAGGGTGTTTTTCTTGTAGTGAATATCATAGTTCCTATTAAAGTAATGTGAGGACAGTACCATTCATTAGCATACCTAATGGAGTTAGGGCCTTTATGGCATGTTTAAATGTTCTTGCAGTGGACAGAGTACCATATCATTGGAGTTTCTGGAGCACCAAGTTCCACAGTTAGACACTATTATAGTTCCCATAAGTGGTTGGTTAAGTTACATTTAATCATCATTTTAAAAATTAGTTCACTATTGTTCCTTCACATTTTTGTTGTTGACTTCTGAGCTTTGTTTTCTGGCGTTGATATATGTGTGTTTGTGGGTGGGTGTGTAGGAGGTGGCTTGATATCAGGTGTGGCTTTGGCTGCCAAGGCCATCAACCCTGCAATTCGAGTTTTAGCTGCTGAGCCTGAGGGAGCCAACGATGCAGCTCAATCCAAAGCAGCTGGGAGGATAATAACATTGTCTGAGACCAACACTGTAGCATGGTGGTGGTGAGTTTCTCATGAGTTGCTTCATTGGAGGGTTGATGACAGAGCTTCACCAGGACTTGTACTTGCTTCGTTTTGTTTCTACTGAAGAAGCCTCTACGCCAACTCTAAAATTGCTCAAGGCTATGGTGATACAGGACTTTATCAAGAATTGTTAAGTTGTCATTTTCCTTGATTCTGGTAGTTCATGAAATTTCATTGATTTGGCACTATTCAAGTGGTTAGGGTCTAGGATTATGATTGTGTCCACACTGTTTTTACTCTTCCGTTGGGGAATTGCATTCTTGATTTTGACCTTGGCTACCTTCTGGGCATACGTGACCAAAGTGGTGGATTTGAAGTTGATAATGGGCATACTGGAAAAGAAGAAAATATCTGCAAGGTTTATGGCCAAGAGCTTGAGTCATTGAGAGCTTTACTTCTTTCTCCCAGTGCTCATTCCAAAGGACTTGGAGCCATTGATGTGTTAGTGGGCTTTCCAATAATTGGGGAGTTTTATGTGGGTGGGCTACCAATCCAGCAGCAGTGAGACCATGAGTATTGTTTGGTTCAGCATCTCTGTAATTGCATGCTTTGATGGTGGCCTTGTTCAAGCCAACTAGTTGATATATTGTTACAACAATATGAGTTCAATGGCACACATCCATCACTGAAATGGAGTTCAATAGACCCCAATTTTAGAGTTTTCACATGTCTAAATTGAAGTGTTTTTGTAAGTGAAAGCTCATCATGAAAAAGGTATAGAGTTATGTAAGTTATTGTATACTCATGTTTTCATACTCTCTCTCTCTCCCTAAACCCAGCTTTTGGATGCACAATTCTGTTTCTAATTGAAGCTTAATATGCTTGGGTTGCCATTACCATTTCAAAGATTGTATTGCTAAATCTGTAAGTGTATGGTTCAAATGTGATGTTCATGATTGATATTGGTTGCTATGATTGCCATAACTACTATATATTGGTTGCTCTGGCTAAGGATTCAGGAAAAGTGCAGAATGCAATTGCATATTGTAAACTAAGAATTGCAAACAGATGTTACGAAATTGCATACATATGCAATTGCATATTGTAAAATGAGAATTGCACATAGATGCTACAAAATTGCGTACAGGTATATGCATATGCATATTATAAACTGAGAATTGCACACATGTGCTCTTTATCGCCAATATCTCCCCTGCCGTTTAATTACCTAACATTTCATCCAATCTGTCATTAATTATGAGGGCAAATTGGTCATTTCATATGTTAAACATAATTGAATTATGTAAAATAAAATAATATGAAAGGAATACAAAAGGGCTATATGTTCACGCAAACGCAAAGATTGCGTTCATTGAGTAAAGTTGCCCGTTCTCTGGAAAAATAGACCCAACTAACTTATTTTTTCAAACAAACAGGCTATTTGTTCACGCGAATTCAGCGGTTGCGTTTGTTGAGTAAAGTTGCCCGTTCAAACAAACGGGCTTCGTGTGTACGCTCCGAAGAGTTTGCCAATAGTCAGGCAGCGTTTGCATTGCAGACATGCAATTGCATGATGGTGATGCAATGCAAGAGTGACTGTGCGTTAACGAAAATAAGAAAAAAGGAGTTTTGCATTTTTAAGCTATGTGGAGTTTGCTCACAGGCGGGTAGCGTTTGCATAACACAAATGGAATTGCACTACAATGATGCAATGCAAGAGTGACTGTGCGCAAATCGAAAAATGGGCCCAGTAGGGGTTGCGTTCGTTGAGTAAAGTTATATGTTCCCCAGAAAAATCAACCCAACCAATTTACTTTTTCAAACAAACGGGTTGATTGTTCAAGTGAACGCAAGCGGCGGTGCATTCGTTTAGTAAAGTTGTCGTTCCTGGAAAAATATTCCCAATCATTTTACTTTTTCCAACTAACGACCTATTTTTTCACGCTAACACATGGCTTGCGTTCGTTGTGTAAAGTTTCCCATTCCCGGAAAAATAGAAAGTCGGCAAGAAAAGGCTTTTGTCATAACAGAAAGAAAAGAAGGGGAGGCCGAAGGGCCCGTCAAAGGGCAATAAAAAGAAAGCTTCCCAATCAACTCACTTTTTCAAACAAACGGGCTATTTGTTTAAGCGAACGCAAATGGGGCATTCGTTGAGTAAAGTTGCTCGATCCTGAAAAAATGGACCAAACCAACTTACTTTTTCAAACAAATGAGCTATTTCTTCACGCATGATAGTCTTAGAAAAGGGAAAATTTTTCATCCTTAGAGCTACTTGTTAATGGGAACAACTTATCCAGCATGGATTCTAGAAAGAGATGAAGTTGCATTATCCTTGACAGCGAACAAATGTCGAGAGAGATACCAATGTATCATCACCCAGGGTTGCATTTTGTTGATATTAATGTTTTAAAGGCTAGCTTTTTGAATGTTTTGAAGTGGGGTGACCCTCGGATCGAAGTCACATTTTGTGGAAGTTCGGGAAACATGGGAAGTTAAGTTTCCATCTTATCAAGTGTTAACAAGGTTATTTGGGAACCTGAGTAGTAAATGTGGGCCCAGTATCCATGCCCCTTCAAGTGACATGTATGAAATTTCGAGGACGAAATTTTATAAGGGGGGTAGATTGTAACATCTCGGTCTGAAAAAGTAATAAAATAATTAAAGTAAGAGAGAATAAAGTTAAATGAGGAAATAAATTGAAATAAATAATATAATAAAATGATTTGAATTAATTAAGGTTTTTTTTAAAAAAAATATTAATTAATACTAAAGGGCAAAAAGGTCATTTTAAGTTCGGGAAAGAATTTGGTGAAAAGTCCAATTTTCAGGAGAGACTCTGCCGAAATTTCGGTAGAAAGTCTTGATTCTTAGTACGTGGGCCCGACATCGGTAAGATGTCGAAAATTTTCACCGGATTCGTCCTGGGTTCTGAGGAATTTGAGGCGGGTACTGTCAGCCGTTCCCCGGAAAAATATTATCAATCAACTTACTTTTTCAAACAAACGGGCTATTTGTTTAAGCGAACACAAGGGGTGCGTTTATTGAGTAAAGTTGCTCGTTCATGGAAAAATGGATCCAACCAACTTACTTTTTCAAACAAATGGGCTATTTGTCAAGCGAACGTAAGGGGTGCGTTCATTCAGTAAAGTTGCCCGTTTACCCGAAAAATGGACCAAACTAACTTACTTTTTCAAACAAACGGGCTATTTTTTCACATTAATGCAGGAGTTGCGTTCGTTGTGTAAAGTTGCCCGTTCCCCAGATAAATGGGCCCAACAAACTTACGTTTTCAAACAAACGGTTATTTGTTCAAGAAAATGCAAGAGATGCGTTCATTGAGTAAAGTTGCTCGTTCCTGGAAAAATGGACCCAACCAACTTACTTTTTCAAACAAACGGGTTATTTGTTCAAGTGAGTGTAAGGGGTGCATTCGTTCAGTAAAGTTACCCGTTTACCCGAAAACGGACCAAACTAACTTACTTTTTCAACCAAACAGGCTATCTTTTCACACTAACACAGGAGTTGCGTTCATTGTGTAAAGTTGTCCGTTCCCCGGATAATTAGACCCAACAAACTTACGTTTTCAAATAAACGGGCTATTTGTTCAAGCGAATGCAACGGATGCATTCATTGAGTAAAGTTGCTCGTTCCTGGAAAAATGGACCAAACCAACTTACTTTTTCAAACAAAAGAGCTATTTGTTCAAGCGAACGCAAGGGGTGCGTTCGTTCAGTAAAGTTACCTGTTTACCCGAAAAATGGACCAAACTTACTTACTTTTTCAAACAAACGAGCTATTTTTTCACACTAACGCAGGGGTTGCGTTTGTTGTGTAAAGTTGACCGTTCCCTGGAAATATGGACCCAACAAACTTACTTTTTCAAACAAACGGGCTATTTGTTCAAGCAAATGCAAAGGGAGCGTTCATTGAGTAAAGTTGCTTGTTCCTGGAAAAATGGACCCAACCAACTTACTTTTTCAAACAAACGGGCTATTTGTTCAAGTGAGTGTAAGGGGTGCATTCGTTCAGTAAAGTTACCCGTTTACCCGAAAAATGGACCAAACTAACTTACTTTTTCAAACAAATGGGTTATTTTTTCACACTAACGCAGGGGTTGTGTTCGTTGTGTAAAGTTGACCGTTCCCTGGAAAAATGGACCCAACTAACTTACTTTTTCAAACAAACGGGCGATTTGTTCAAGCGAATGCAAGGGGAGCGTTCATTGAGTAAAGTTGCTCGTTCCTGGAAAATTGAACCCAACCAACTTACTTTTTCAAACAAACGAGCTATTTGTTCAAGTGAGTGTAAGGGGTGCGTTCGTTCAGTAAAGTTACCCGTTTACACGAAAAATGGACCAAACTAACTTACTTTTTCAAATAAACGGGATATTTTTTCATGCTAACATAGGGGTTGCGTTCGTTGTGTAAAGTTGCATGTTCCGCAGATAAATGGACCCAACAAACTTACTTTTTCAAACAAACGGACTATTTGTTCAAGCGAATGCAACGAGTGCGTTCATTGAGTAAAGTTTCATGTTCCCGTAAAAATGGACCAATCCAACTTACTTTTTCAAAAAAACGAGCTATATGTTCATGCAAATACAAAGATTGCGTTCGTTGAGTAAAATTGCCCGTTCTCTGAAAAAATAGACCCAACTAAGTTACTTTTTAAGCAAATATGCTATTTGTTCACTCGAACACAGGGATTGTGTTTGTTGAGTAAAGTTGCCCGTTCCATGGAAATATAGGCCTAACTAACTTACTTTTTCAAACAAACGGGATATTTGTTCACGCAAGCACAAGGGTTGCGTTTGTTAAGTAAAGTTGCTCGTTCCCCGGAAAAATGGTCATAACTAACTTAATTTTTCAAACAAACGGGTTATTTGTTTACGCGAACACAAGAGGTTGCGTTTGTTGAGTAAAGTTCTCCGTTTCCCTTAAAAATGGACCCCGCTAACTTACTTTTTCACACAAACGAGCTATTTGTTTAGGCAAACACAAGGAATGCGTTCGTTAAGTAAAGTTTCGCAGTTCCTTGAGAAATTGGACCAAGGAAAATACTTTATCAAACAAACGCACTATTTTTTCTCTCGAACACAAGGGTTGTGTTCGTTGAGTATGTTGCGTTCATTTGATAAATTTAATTGTTGGTATGTACGGTAAGAAAAAAAAAAGTTCACGAGAAAGAATAAGACATGAATATATATATATTTTTTGTTGTAAGTCGAAGAAATTATTGTTACTTTTTTTTTAAGGAAAAAGTGTATGGGTGTGATATATACTGTTGTTAATCTAATCGGATCTTTCCCCTTGTATTTTTCACGGGCTTCTTTTTTAAAACTATTTAAAATTTTGTTCTTATAATAAAAAGAGAATAAAATTACAACTATATTCACATAACTAAGACTTGAACCTAGGCCTTGTACCAAGGAATATGCACTAGAAACCAACTCCACTAAATACACTTTTGTGTTAATGTATTACACGTTGGAGTATATATATATATATAGTTGTTATAATATTAATATATATATATATATTATATAAAGTAAAAATAATATCTTGGGTCCTCAAAAATCAAGGGCCCTGTGCAGTGGTGCCACTTGCACCATGCCAGGGCCGCCCCTGCCTACTAGTTGGGTTAATCCTAACTATCCCATATATGGGAGGACAGTAGGGAGCTTAAGAAAGACCTATCTGCACCATGTTCAAACATGGCTTACAAACTGCTTGGGTTACATAACTTGGTATGACTATTGTATGAATCTAGATGGTTGTTCCTCATTGTTTGAACCTCATTGGAGCTCTTCATTTATGTAGTTAGATACTTATCTAAATTGTAATCCAATGTTTAAACAAACTATGGAACTTGGTATGACTATTGTATGAATCTAGATGGTTGTTCCT